GCCGGGGCCCGCCCCCGGGGAAGGGGGGGTCGCGTCTCCCGCCGCCGGGGGCCACGTGACGGGCGCCGGCTGCCGGATTAGCGCAGCACGCACGGAGGGGGGCCGCGAGGGAGCACTCCTGTTTGGCGCGGCTGCGCGGGACTTCCCTTCCTCCCTCCCTCGCTTCCTTCGCTCCTCCGCCCTTGTGCCTGGCTGCTGTCGCTGGGCGAGCTGCCTGCAACCAGGATGCTTGTTTTGGGGGGTGTTGGGCCCTTAAATTGAGCTAAGGGGGGCTGGGTTAGAGTAGCTAGTTTTTAGCTAGGTCCTCTGACCTGTACTAGGGGGTGCCTTTTTTGCAAAACATGCCACAGCTGTTGAATACCACTGGTTGTATATAAGGCTGGCTGGACAGTATTGACATTGTAATGAGTAATGTGCAGCTATTTGCTTTTTTTACACGTGCACATTCAGAACAAGAGGCTTCCCTGCCACTCCCTGGATTGGTACAGAGCTGTCTGTGCTGCCTGATGCAAACATATTTTTCATTAAACATGTACAGGAGGATGGTAGAGGTCTTTGAATCTGAGGCACCTTCATTTATCTGTTTGAAGTGGCAGATTTTTTTTTCCTAAGAGGATGTTTCCCATTAAAATTGAATAGTAAGCATTCTCGGAGGTTTCAGTCTCTTGGTAATTACAAGTTGGTTGCCTGTATTGGTAGCTGTGTTCCAAATATTAAACTTGGTTCATCCTATCAGCTGATCCTGTTTTCATGTTGAAGGCCTCGTAGTCATCCTTTATTTTTGAGGTGCTGATATGAACTAGTGACTTTGAATTTACCAGAGTGTGAAGAGACTTGGTTAGAAGGGAGCAGAGTTTCCAAGCCAAACACCACTGGAGGAATGTCTCCCTATGCTATACTTAAATGCAGCCTGGCTGAGTTGCTTGCACAAGCTGGTTTGATTTCAGTTGGTTTCATAGTTGTTCTGCATGTCTTGCATTACAGTAGTGGTTGCTGTACAGTCATACATTTGGGGCATTGATCTTTTAAAATTAATTGGAAAATACTGTGAAGAGACTGTATTAAATGGAATGCTTCCACAGACTACCAAGCATGTTTATGGGACTGCCTATTCGTTAGCAACTTGTGAGGGGTAGAATTATAGTATGTGATTTGATGAATTAAATATTGTCTGTTGGTGATCGTACAACAGCTACTTTATTGCAGCCTGTTGTGTGTGGTGTACATTTACTTTTGAGCCCAGAGACATTACAAAGGAAACTTAGGGTTTTAAATCATCAGTGAGATGTGAAGTAGTATGAAACTTGGTTACTTCTTCAGCCATTACTGCATACATGTTTTGATGGACCTAGACCTTTACGTTACCCAAATGGCAGTCAGACTTTCATAATTAACCCAGTTCTTCATGCCACAATATGATTGCATGATGCAACATGTTAATATGTAAAGCAGCAATTTTCTTCTCTTTCCCTTAGTTTGCGGGTCTAGACTTGAATTCCTCAGACTCTCAGAGTGGAGGAGGCACAGCAAGCAGTAAGTATATGCAAGTTTTCCTTATGCCTGGATATAGGTGAGCAGTTGGAAAACCATTTATATTATACAGCTCTGAGAGGGACAGCCACCTTTTGGGATTTAATGTTTTTAAAACTGATGCCTTTAAACGTGGAAGTTGGGGAGGGAGGTATAGATAGACTCTTTAGATGGACCAAAAGTAACTTGGTTGTGCAAGGGTGGGATTTCATCAAATGGTAATAGTTTTATAGGGCTCTTTTCTGTCCCGGGGGTTGGGCTAGAGGATCTC